AGGGCCTTGTGGGTAAAATCATCTGCAGCAGAATGCGTGCACGCTTACTGGGTTATCCTCTGAAGCATGCTGTCGGGGCCTGCTGGGGATGGCTGCAGGAGCCCTCCTCACTCCCGGTCACTCAGAAGGACATGAGCTAACAGCATAGCTGAACCACACGGGCTCTGGCCTCCAATAACCTAACTCCATGAGGATCAAAGCAAATCTTGTAAAGGCACACCAGGGGCGTTTTTGTTCTGTTTGTTTTATCTTCAAATTGATTCTTTCATCATAAAAAAATAGTTTTAATACCTTAACACTAATTTTCATTTAATGCTTATTTCTAATGAGTAATATTTTTATCTAAGGCTAAAAAAAAAAAAAAAAAAAAAAAAAAAAACCTATGTTGTCTTAAAAAATGTACTTAGCTCATGTGTAAACTTCTCAACCAACGGCCCCTCTGTGGATTAGGAAGCAAAGTAAGAGAACTTGGTATTCATGGAGTAAGACCTCAACAGTTCCCCAGTGGCGGTTAGGGACCAGCCCATCTTGCCTGGCCTGTGCTGGTCATGCTTTCAGCTCTACCAGCAGCAGGGATAACGATGGGCTCTTCAGGGTAGAGTAGAAAGAAAACCCAAGAAGGAACCCGCCTATGTGTGTGGCTTGGGACAAAAGCCAGGCCAGAGCACAAAGCCCTGGGCCCCCACAGCCCACCGCCGACGGCCCACGGCCACAGCCCAGCCTCTACTTCTGTTACACATCCCTGAACTCAACAGTGTAAATTCTCAGTTTCAAGAGTGTGACTTCCACCTCTGTCTGGTGACACCCAGCCACATGCTCCGGAATGAAAACTGCCTAGGCCTTCCTGCAGACCCCACTCTGTCCCTGTCCGTTGCTCCTTATTGGCGTGTTAGAATTCCCCAGCTCCTCACAGGCCTTTGAACTCGAGCACCAAAGCCAACAGGTGCACAGATCTGCAACATAATTAGTCAGCTACACCTTCCCAATGTCACTAAAAGGCTTCTGTTAGTTTGTTTTTGTTTTTTTAGGAGACAGTTTCATTATAAACACACCACAGTGAGAGCTTCGTAGCGGGAGAGGAGACTGTTCAGCCAGGCTGAGGTGGTGAGCCTGAGAGCCCAGGGCAAACCACTGCACCGCCCTCCTTCCCGCCCAGCTATGTCTGGACAGCAATGTGCCTGTCGAGTGGGGTCCCACTGGTGCTCAGGAGGCCATGCATACAAAACATGGCCTGCTCTTAGCTTTTCCTAGCACCTGCCCATTCCTCACAAAAGAGTCATCTACACACTTCAAACAACCAATTACTCTTAATTCTAACATTCAAGAAGACATCAGCCATCCACACTGGACCATTGATATCACCTAATAAATCCATTACTTGCTAATTTTAGTATTGTGCCCTTTTCCAGCACTAGTTTAATCTCCTGCACTGTTCAGTTTGGGCTTCGTGTGGAGAAGAATTCTGAAACATCTAGGTGTTACTTGATATTTTAAATGCTTTGTTGAGGGGTGGGCTCCTGTGCCTTCCCATCCCCATTATTCAGAACTTGAACTCCAAAATGACATCTGAGAGTAACACGATAAGGTTTCAACCAAAGCATTTCACCAACGGTGGCATGCCATCAGTAGTGACTGTCCCCGTGAGTCGCCGTCCAATGGCACCTGGCCTGGCTTGGGAGGTCGCTCCATCCTCGCTGGACTTCTGGAAGGCGGTGCTCCAGGGCACTGGACAGCACTGCAGACCTCCATCCTGCTTAACATACGGCAGCCCTGAATACTCTGGCTGCTGGGAGGGGTGGTTGCCTTCTGCTGTTTAAAGGCTGGTTTCAGGGGTCCCGGCAAATCCTTCATCACACCATGGGAGAACCAGGAAGCAGGTTGTGCTGAGCCTGTGTCTCCCAGTGTGAAGGTTCGTGAAGCTAAGGGTCACTAAGAGTGAAACCATCTCCCTTTACCTGCAGCCATGGAGAGTACAGGTTGCCAGACTTAGTCCTTATACAGGTTTCATTGCTGAATAGCAGCCAGCATCGGCTGTGACCTGTGAGTTACTCATGCTCTCTGGCAGGAGGGCTGGCCCACTGCCCCATGCTCACCCCATTACAGAAGCAGGAGACAAAGTCAGTACCCTCCTCATGACACTCACAGGGCAAGGTCTGTGCTTCCCTGGTCTTCCTGTGTTTCGGAAAAGTGCCTCGAAAGAAATGTTTATAGTACTCAGGGCCGCTCTGGAGAGACTGTGCTGGCTAGAAGTGGGGCTCTACCTGTGGCAACCTCGTCAGGCCTTCCACACTCGAGAAAGCCACTGGCATCTCAGATGCCCAGGACAGCTGCTTCCGAGTCTTGCTTCCAGCTTGGTGGTTGAGGCCTGCTGATGACAGGTGTGGGTCTAGAAAGCCTTCCACAGCCAGTGCTCTGCAGGGCCCAGCTCCATAACGTATCCAGCCACTCCAGCCCTGGACGGGCTGCTGGGTCTGGAGGGGTCCCCACTGCCTCATCCACGGGAAAGGGAGACGGTCTTGACCTGCGTGGCCATCTTCTGCTAATGGTGATCGCCTGTGGGCCAGATCTATGCAGGCTCTGCTGGCCAACTTTGAGGCTGTCCCTGCTCCGACCCCAGCATTCTGGGGTTTCTCACGCCTGAAGGTCCTTCCTTCCACCGACACGTTCCCAGGAAGGCTTCTGCCTGGCTGCTCAGCTGGCTGCCACAGCAGGCTTCTGAAAGTTTTCTGTCCATGACCCTTTATGCCTACAGAACTTTTGCACAATCCCAGGCATATAGACTTATGAGAACAGTATACAAATTAAACATTTGCTGAAAATAAGTCATAAAGAAACGTATTTTAAAACAATTCTTCAGCAAATGTATAATTTGCCATGTGTTAAAGCCTAAAGTAAATTTGTGTTTATTTTTGTATAAATAAATAACTCTCGGCTCAGTGGCTCAGTATTTAATACCACAGGGCATGAAATTTCTTCAGTGTTTCCAGAGATGGTCAGTATTTTGGTTTCATAATTGTCTAGGCCAAGAGCACTGCTTCTGAGAAACACGCAGAAAACAAACAAACAAAGGTATGTTTAGAACCTCTTCAGGAATTGCTGGAAATGCTAGCCTGACTCCAAGCCAAAATGCCTTTAACAACTTTATTTGAAAGTTGTCAGCAACTCAAATAGCATTTTAAAAATTTATTTATTTTTTATTAATTATAGTTTATTCACTCTGTATCCCAGCTGTAGCTCCCTCCCTCAGCCACTCCCAATCCCACCCTCCCTCTTTCTTCTCCTCCCATGCCCTTCCCCCAGTTCACTGATAGCCAAACTTTGGGCAGAGTGCAGGGAATCTCATGGAAGAAGTGGGAGATAGAGAGGCCTGGAGGGGATAGAGCTCCACAAGGAGATCAACAGAACCAAAATATCTGGGCTCAGGGGTCTTTTCTGAGATGGATACTTCAAACAAGGATCATTCATGGAGATAACCTAGAACCCCTGCACAGATGTAGCCCATGGCAGCTCAGTCTCCAAGTGGGTTCCCTAGTAATGGAAGCAGGAACTGTCTCTGACATGAACTCAGTGGCTGGCTCTTTCATTACCTCCCCATGAAGGGGGAGCAGCCTTGCCAGGCCACAGAGGAGGTCAGTGCAGCCAGTCTTGATATGACCTGATAGGCTAGGGTCAGATGGAAGGGGAGGAGGACCTCCCCTATCAAACAGCAATTTTTAAAAATTTAAGCATTCTAGTGTAATTCAATCCAGAGATATTCTAATTTGATGCCTCCATGCTGAGGAATGACAGTAGGGAAAGATTTCAAAAATCTGTTTTTCCGTCGCTAATCCCCCATTAAGTGAGAGCGGGAGGCTTTGTGTGTAGAATGAAAACAATGTTCATGGCATGACTGCACCATTATGAGCTGGGTGTTGCGGGCTTTGGCGCAGTCGCAGGGCCTGCTGTGGCATGTGCAGGGCACACACATGTTGTGTGTTCACAGTCAGCAGAGGCAAACACAGCAATGCATTTAATTTTGAATTAACTTTTGGTTGTGCCACATGCTGAAACCTTTCACCATCACCAATTTTTTTCCAAGCCGCAACCAGTTACATGGACCAGTGTGGACCCGCTGTTTACAGAGCTGTGTACTAGGGTTAGAAAGATGGCTTGGCAGTGAGAGCCCTCGGTCCTAATATCCACATGGAGACTCAGGCACCTATAACCCAGTTCTAAGGGACCTAGGCTCCCCTGGTTTCCCCAAGCACCAGGCACACACAAGGCGTACACACATACATGGAGGCAAAGCGCCCCTACATAAAATAAACCTGTTTTTACAGAGAGAGGAAGATCAGCACCAAAGGGCTGAGAATAGAAAGCTCAGAGCATGTGTTAAGTTAATAAGGCTGAGATTCCCTCCTCCCAGCCTGTGTGTGGACAGCTCGCATCACCGGAAGGGCACCATCCCCAGAGGACGCAGTTCTCCTCTCCACAGAGCCCCCACCGTGAACACATCCTGGGTGTTTTGTTTTGTTCAGATCTAGGGCTCTCGGTTTCAGGAGGCAGGGAGCTGTATATTTAAAAGCCAATACTAAGCCATAAAAGATCAGCCTCTGCTTTCATATTTTAAAGAGAAAGTAATCCTAGGCAATCAAGATTGAAGTGTGTGCGCACTCCTTCCCCTGATTTAGTGTATCCTTTAAGGTACCAAGAAAAGGGGGGAGGGACCAATAAAGCCTGCTTCCTAATGGCCATGGCTGGCTGCTGGTGAGTGTCTATGCAGGCATCTTATGACAATTTTTCAGCCCAGCATTCTTGAATTAATGCTAATGAAAGCTGCCCTGGCCTTATTGTTCTATATGAACGCCGGAATTGCAGCTGCCTGCCAAGCTGCTGAAGGATGAGTGAAATAATTTTCAATTGGCCTCTTTGCCCAAAGGGAGCCAGAAAGCAGGAGATTGGCAGATGCAGTGTGGATTATCTTGTGCACTGAGCTCAGCCCAATTTGTGATTTGTTGCAGGTGCTAAAGAGATTGATATCGCGGCGACCCTGGAGCACTTGAGGGACCAGAGACCAGGCATGGTCCAGACAAAGGTACTGTCAATCAACCCTCCGGGACTTTAAATGTATTAAAGGTGCCTCTCTGCATGATTTTCCTGAGCGCCGAGAAGGGCATGGAGCGGGACGTACACAAGCCACACACAAAGGCTCTGGTCCGGGTGGGCAGCATCCAAGCCAGTCCCCAGTAGGCAAAGGCACGGGGGCTGTTCCCAGGAGGTTCATTGCTGTTCCTGGAGCTACTCAAATACCTTCAACACCAAAGATTCAGTCAGACCCAACTCCTTGAAACCCAGTTCATTAATTCCTACCAGGTTTGGAGAGGGGCAAGACATCCACTGCCCTGTCAGGAGCTCAAGGCTCTCACACTTGCCAGGCAAGTGTCCACTGCCCTGTCAGGAGCTCAAGGCTCTCACACGTGCTAGGCAAGTGTCAGCCCTGCGGTGCCTCCAGCCAAAACCACATCTTTAAAGAGTGACAGACCCAAAAACTATCCAGAGGCGCACCCCCAAACGCCCACCTTCCCCCCAGCACCCACAGCTGCCTTTGTGCTGTGCGGTGGTCACCAGGACAGAGGCCACCGAAGCAACTTCGTGCACAGGGCCTTTGAGCCCCTGAGAAATAACAGATCTATCTCAGCAGGGTGACTCAAAGGCTTTGTGTTCAGGCTCACAGAACTAGGCACGTGGTTGATGTGCCTTCCTGTCCATCCCCTAGGCAGTCTGGAAATGTCTGCCTTCAGTGGCAAAGCCCTCACCATCTGTGCAAGGGTCTGTACCACACAGTCCTTTTCACTGTTGGTGTGGTCCAGACCCCAGAACCCACTGGCAGCCATACATGTGAACTCACCCTTATGAAATTACTTCTGTCACTCAAGAGACTCTCAAGTTATAAAAGTGCTTACCTGGAAGGGAGTGGGGGTTGGAGAGATGGCTCAGAGGTTAAGAGCATGGACTACTCTTCCAGAGGACCTAGGTTCAATTTCCAGCACCCACATGGTAGCTCACAACTGTCTGAAACTCCAGTTCCAGGGGACCTGACACCCTCACAGACATCCGTGTAAGGAAAACACAGATGCACATAAAATAAAAACAAACAAATCATTACAGCTCTTTCTGGGGCTGGGGACAAGGCTCCAGGGCTCAGTGCTTGCCTTCCAGGGTGAGCCTTGGGCTCCATCCTTGCCTGGAGGACAAAATTCTTCCTGCGTGTGGGTGCTTCTGTGAGGTCAGGCTGGACAGCCTGCTCTGGGCCAGGCCTTGGTCCCTGCTGCTGCAACCTGGGGGGTCCTAGCTCATGACCCAGCTCTACATAACCCCTCTGTAAAGTGTGGTCATTTCTAAGGTTGTAAAGAGGAGCTGGTCACCCTGGTGTCTGCAAGAGAGGTATCAGGCATGACTGAGTAGGTTTCGGCTGGAGTGCTATTTCTTAAAGTCCTTTGTCTGGATGAGTCTCATTGCCAGTGTTAGCCGGAGCATGAGGCACAGCCACCCAACCCTCTTCTGAGGTCACGAAGCTGCTGTCAGGAGAAAGAGAGGAAGTGGGGGGCTCCCCATCAGCAGCCTGGCTGCCGGGTCACTGGTCCCCGGATGTGGACCCTGTGCCGGGCAGCCCCTCTGCTGCCGGGCTCTGTGTTCTCCTGTGATATGGGCTAGCATTAAGAAGGAACTTTATGAACCACATTTTGTCTTTTCCTGGGTTTTGAAAACAAGAGAGACAAGCTCAGTGGCTAAGAGCACTAGCTGCTGCTCTCCAGAGCACTGGTCAGGCGGCTCACTGCAGCCTGCAGCGCCAGCTGGGGGGCGGGGGAGCTCCAGCTCTGTCTTCTGGCTTTTGTGGATGCCCTCACGTAAGCGTGCATGTGTGTTCACACAGACACATACATGTAGTTATTCAGCTGAATGGTTTTTAAAGCAATTACAGAAATAATACAGATGACTTCCAGACCCCCTCCACACACACACACACACACACACACTCAGCCCGTGTTAACACCTTACACAACCACAGTATGGTAGTCAAAACCGTTAGACCGCCACTCCGAGCAGACTTCACCCACACCTGTGCCCACCGTGACCTCTTGTGAGAACAGGCCTTCCGGAATGGCCAGGCGTGGAGCATGTCTGCCCCTCCACGGTAGGCCCAGCTATCCCTAGACGTCCCGTTGGCCACCTTCCACAGATGTCCCTTGGTGATCCCTGCAGTCAGGATGTAATTTCATCCCCAGAGCGCACAGGCCCAGCTGCCTGCTGCTGCCCACGTGTGCTGCGGGTCTCCCCACGGCTAGATGAGGGCTCATGGTCCTGCAGGAGAGGCCTCGGAGGCCTGGGGTCGCTGAGTGCTTAGGAGATGTGAGGCTGCTGGGCAGGAGGGTCCCTGGATCCCCGAGACCAGTAGCCACAGGCCTTGTGCCCTGGGAAGGGAGGACGCCCGGTTGTGAGGTCACGTTGGGCATCCCCCTGCAGCGGTCAGCTCAGAACCGGGCAGGGAGGCTGGGAACGTTGGAAACTCAGGACGCTTTGGCCCAGGGGTAGAGAGTGAGTCCTGCCTCTGGAGCCATGCTCTGCTTCAGGGACTACCAAAAATACAAGCCGATCTCTTCCGTCTGCACCTCTGCAAACCTCACAGGCCCTTCCCCACCAGACAGTTCACTGTGCCCAAAACATCCACTGGCTTTACCAGGACCTGCGCTGACTCCCAAGGCAAAGCAAGTGCCGGAGTGGGGGACACGCCCAGCATGGGAAGAAGAGTCTCTCAGAGCTCAGATATCGGCATCTTGTTGCCAAAACCCAGCCCCGAAGCCTGGCTGCCGTAGTCAGGCCCAGGGCCCAGCACCAGTGCGAGCCTCAGCACTCTGGGGCAATTGTGGTTATTCTCCTGATATTACAGTATTAATAACTGTACTGATTGTTGCTGTGCTGCGCACAGCTACAAAGCCCACATGCTCCAGCCCTACAGCCAGTTCACAGGGTGACACAGGCCCCGAGACCAAGTCCACCCACGTGCCTGCTCTCTGCTGGATGGTGACCCTGCCCTCAAGGCTGGGTATTCAGAGGTGGACCGTGCTCCCGTGTCCACGGCAACGCAAAGGTTACCATCCTCCCAGCTCACCTTGACACTGAGCTTCTCTCTGCACTTCAGTTTCACAAAAACAGAAAACTGACTGGGGCCAGACAGTGCCATGCTGTGAAGCACGCCACACACGCCCAAGTCAGGCCATGGGCGTTCAGTCACAGGGAGGTGCTTGCTCAGAGCCCGTCGTCTGGACCTGAGGAACGGGAAGGACTGACCATGAGCCCGGGTGGGTTGGGGACTCCTGACAGAAACTCTTTGTGACAGAGAGCCGGAGGGCAATAGCCTTTCTCCCGGAACACAGACCAGTCAGACCCAGCCAACACCTAACAAATGCCTGCCACACAGCATGGGCGGAGGAGAGACACCGGGACACAAAGGCTTGCCTGCCTCTGAGGATGTGCCACGGCTAAGACAGGAGCCCTCAGCGCCCACCCCCCCATTCACCCGCAGCCATTCCTGCTTCTGCCAGGTATCCCTGGAGCCGGCCCTGAGGAAGGTGGATAAGGTGGCAGGACAGGCTGAAACTCCGAATCCTCTAGCGTCCAGGCCCAGCCATGCCTCCTTACCTCAGCTGTATCTGCTGTGGACACCCCCTCCCCAGGGCCCAGGAGGGTTGCCGTGGCAACCACGGGCTTTAACCCTTCCCTTCCTGTGGGTTTGGCTTAATGTGGGTTTTGTTATCATAGGTTAACCATGTGGGGAAGAGGTCTCCTTGGGGTGCTCCTGTGCCCCAAAGCACTCCTCTTGTGTCCACCCCACTCCTGCCCCTTTCCTTCCACAACCTCAATCCTCTCCTTTTGATTCTTTCCATTCTTTCTCTCCCTCCCACCATGAATGGTAACACTTCTTTCTGTGAACTGGCTCACTTCACTTGATAAGTGGCCTCAGGACTTCCCTGCGTGGCCCAGGCTGTCCCTGAATTCATGATCCTCCTGCCTCAGTCTCCCGAGCGGCAGGATGGCAGGCAGGTGCCACCACGACCCCCAAGCCTGCCATTTTCTCTTCCATATTCATCAGATCCAGGAAAACCAACGACTAACCGATCCTACAACCGAGACGTGAGCGCGCTGTGCTCGTGAGATGGGCACACCTGGGGGGTGTGTGGGAGTGTGCAAGTAAGCTGGCATAGTGGGCTCTCCACTCGGCTCATGGTGAGAATGGCATTGCGCGTGGGTGCACGCGGATGCGCGAGAGAATGTGTGTGCAAACGTGTGTGAGCGCATGAGGGTGCGCAGGAATGAGCGTGAGGGTGAGTGAGCCAGCGGGGTGTGAGAGGGGATGTGAGTGCATGGGTGTGTGAACATAGCTATGGGTGTGAATGTGTGCGGACAGTGCTGATAGACACTGTTATATACAGTACTAATATACACTATGTTGAAAGGGGGACTGTGAACAGGTACAGGTGTGAATGCGTGTGTGTGTGAGCATGCAAATATGTATGAAGGTACGTGAGTCCACCGTGCTCAACGCCCGCTCACTCTTAGCGTCCCTGCATCCCGACATCACGCCGCGTGCCCTCCGTCCTAAGCTCTGCTCGCCTCTCGGAGATAGCGGAGGTGTGGGGGCTCGAGTCTGAGGAGACGAGGCGCTGGCCGCTGGGGTGGCCTGCCTCTCCTGGGTGTGTCTGTGCCGCTCCCGCGAGCGACCCGGCCCGTTCGCGTGGGCCTGCGGCATTACAGCAGTTCCTCCTCCGTCCTTCTCCCTTCTTCTCCCCTCGGCCCCCTCTCCTGTCTCCCTGTTCTCCTCAGAATCTCTTCTCCCTTCCCTGTCTTCCTGTGACTCATCTGTCTGTCTGTCTGCTGACTCAGTCCTGCCTCAAACTGTGGCGGTCCCTGCCTCTCCTGGCTGGCGCTGAACCAGGGGCGGGCACCACCGTGCTGAGGAGCAGGGGTGACAGGGAAGACCGGGGCCCTCGGTCCCTCTTAGGAGCCTCCTGGGCAAGCACCTCCTGCGTGCGTGCGAAGACCTCAGGGCTGTGAGCACTGCCATTACACTTCACTGGAGCGCTCCTTCGAGCAGGGATGACGGTTGTCATAGCAACCACTCAGGCAGGAGGATTCAAATGCAAGCAGGAACAACCCAGCAGCCATCACCCTGCTGCAGGCTCCAGACCACCACAGCCCAGGTCACGTGGTCTCCAGGGGTGGGGTTGCCCCGTGACGGCAGGCTCCTGCCTCACCAGCTTGCCCGGCCCACATAAGCTTGGAAGGCCGTGGCACAGGCTGTCTGAGGAGAGGCGCTCAGCCTTCCTCCCCACCCAGCAAGGGCAGGACAATGACCAAGGACACAGCAGCTGCTCTGGCCTGAGCTTCTCAGGTGCAGGCCTGAGCTGGGAGACACGCTGGGGTCTTCTTTCTATGAATGGAATTTCAGGTGCTTCAAAAGCGACTGCTTTGCTCAGAATAACTCAGTGGTGTCTCTAATGCCCCACTGCCATGCACGCACGCACGCACGCACACTCACACACACACACACCACACACACACACACACACACACACACACACACACACACACACACACGGTGGGCACAGGGAAACATTGTCTTCCCTGCCTTGGCTCCAGTCACCCAGCATGTTTTAGTCCACAGCTGCAGCTTCCGCCGACTTTTAAAACTGTTTCTGCTCAACACAAAGTTCTACTGCAAACGTAATTCCTTCCTGGACCCCAACGCCTGGGGTCAGGGGAAGCGGCTCCATGTGGCATCACTTGGAGCAGTGCCAAGGGTGGTGAATACACACCAGTGAGTCCACAGTTGAGTCACAAGAGTCAAGAGGGTCAGGTCATCCAGGCTACGAAGCAAAACCTCGTCTCAAGATAAAAGTTGCCATGGGCCACGGGTTCGTGTGTATTAACACCATGAGCAGAGCATGAAGGGTCCGGGCAGGCATGGCCTCAGGCCACTGAAGGTCCAAACATGAGACCACGTGAGGCAGGGGCTGGTGTTGTGCACACTCGTTTGCAAGCATATACAGGCTATTCACAGTCTGTGACTGTTACCTAGGGAACAGCACACACGGGTTAGGATGCCCGGGACTTCCTCAGCGTGATCAGCCAGCGCGTGATGCCTGCAGAGCTTTGAGACAGAGCCTGCAATGGCTTGTGTGGATGCTGAGGAAGGGCAAGATGGCCTCCTCCCAAGATCCTTACCATTGGGCTTGAGAGGAGACAGGCCTCATGCTCTCTCTCGCTCTCTCTGTCTCTCTCTGTCTCTCTCTCTCAGCACTCACAGCCCTTGACGTTCCCATGGCTGCTCATTAGCTCACAGGGGCTGTGATGTGTGGGGGAGTCACTGTCTGAAGAGGAGACCCCTGACAGAGAGGACAGAGCTGAGCTGGGCTAGCCTGTCTGTCTCAGCAGCCGTGGCTGCGCCCCGCTTCATCATGGCCACGGTTGCAGCTGCATGAACAGCCATGGGCAACTGGCCTCTGCATCCGTCTGCAGAGGCTGCGGTGAGAAACCACAGACACAGGACTGCAAGCCTTACCTGGTGACCCGCTCCCCACTGCGGCTAGAGAAGAACCTTCCGGCAGGCAGCGGGAGCAAGGCTTCGCAGGCCCCGCCGAGGGACAGACGCAGCGTGGGTCAGCCGCCAGAGGCCCTCCTTGTTCCCTCGAAACCGGGCCCATCCCGTTTCCTAGCCAGTTTCTTCCAGTCTCGCGCGGGGGTGGGACAAGAACTTGCCTCCCTTACCGTCCCTTCTCGCTTGTCTCTTCCTCAGGAGCAGTTTGAGTTTGCGCTGACAGCTGTGGCCGAGGAGGTGAATGCCATCCTGAAGGCCCTTCCGCAGTAGGCCCCGACGCTGGAGGCTGGCGCGACCACAACGGGATGCCATCTCTGCGCCTTCTGTGTAGCGACGGGCCCTTCAGGCCCACAGCCAGGGCGGGGCTAGTTGTGTGTACTTTCACTTCACCAAATCCCAGATGTGTGGAAACAGCAGTTCAGAGGGGAGGAAAGTCTTGGCTCATTTGTATCACAGTCTTAACAAAACTTCCTTTTCCCTAAAGCACACTCTGACATTGTCACATCAATGACACAGTAATTAGACGCCCACTGTGGCCCCCTTGGAAGTGCTTCTGTATGTAATTGCTGGAGATAGGGTAGAGGGACAGCCAGCCAGCAAGAGAGCAGCCTCTGGGAAAGACCAGGCCCTGAACCCCTGGGGCCAATGACAAGGGTGGCGCCGCCACCCATCCCTACTGACCCATGCCCAGCACAACAGCTCACCCTCTGCACATGTAGATCCAAGGCAAGGAAAGGGGCTTCCTAAGGCAGACACCATAACCCTCCTGGTGTGTGCCGCCCTGTCTGCCCCAGAAGCAAGGACCCGGGTGACGGCCTCGCCTCTGCAGATCATAGAGGAGCCCATCCTGAAATGCTCCTGTAACAGTGTGGGTCTGTTCTCTGCGTGTGACACCAGGCACCATGGCACGCTTTCCTCAAAGTGACAAAACCAGGATGAGTGTGGTACCTAGCGAGTTCCGAGGATCCCCGGGAGCAGCCCGATGGGGCTGGCATCAGAAAGTCTCTGATGCGCCTGCCCCTGGAAGGAAGGCTGGCACGCCCCTTCGGCCCCTCCCAGGAGCCTCCTGGCTCGTCAAACCCGTGAAACCTGTGCTCACTGAATAATCCAGTTTGCCAAAACATTTGGGCACTGCACTTAGCACCTTCCCACACAGAGGAAAGCTCACTTCAGTAAGGTCGAGGCATTAGTACCCAGAGAGGAGGAGGGCACGGCTGCAAGCCCAGGCTGTCTGTGGGGCTGAGTGTGAAAAAGCCCATCTCCCGTGTCCCCCATCACTCCTTCCCCTTGGCCTCGGCATTCTGAGGTGCAGCGTCAAGGAGGTGGCTGCCGGGCAAGAGGTGAGGCCACAGTGTGTCATGTTGTGTTGTTGTGTACCTGTTCAACATCTCTGACATCTCCCCTCCAAGTCATTTCCCCCATCTGGAATTTAAATAATAATTAATAGAAATGAATTTATCTGAATATAGGAAGCATATACCTAATTGTAACTTCTCCTGTTTAAAGGGAATCCTCGGCGTGATATACAGATATATTTAATTGTGTCATATTAAACCTTCTGATTTCACATTTGGTGGTCTTCATTTGGGAATGTGACAGAAGTTTTGTCCGAAGGGCGCCTTTTGCTTCCTACAGTGCGAATCCAAACAGAGGCCCTTCTCCGGAGGCTGTGGGCACCACTTCATGGTATTCTGTACCAGGCATATATGTGGGATTCCGCGTCACTAGGATGAGCTACCAGGGTTCTGCGTCACTAGGATGAGCCACCAGGGTTCTGCATCACTAGGATCTCACTCTTTAAGATCTTCTGAGCGCCCACTGAGGGCTGTGGATTTCAACGAGGCAGCAGTGCGCTCTGCTCTGCTGGAAACTGCCCCCACTCTCCTCACAGCCCTGTCCCAGGGAAATGGGTGTGTGTCCGTCCCTGTGAGCTATGCCAGCCCCTCACGGCACAGGAGAGCAATATAGCTCCAGGGGCCAGACATGATTGCGACTTCCTGGCTTCCTTTGTTTCTGAAGAATACCAAGTCATCTTCTTAGTAATGCTCAGTTAATGTGCAAAGTAATGAAATCATGAATTTCATCATGGCAATTTGATGTGCACACAGGCACACACACATACTAATCTAGAGTCCTTGTAGGAAAGAACATGTATCGTCTTTGAGATTCTGTCGTATTTTGCTAACGTCATCTCCAGTTCTATTCACATTCCTGAAAGCGGCGTGATTTTGTTATGGCAGAAGGAAACGCTATAGTGTGGTTTTAGGTTTTGGAGGGCACTAGAGAGATTTCCGTGGCAGCTGCACTAGTTTACACACCCGCCACCAGTGTGAAGGCTCCCCTCCCCGCAGCGGCCCCTGAGCCACATTACCTGGGGCTGAGAACTGAGCTCTGGGCCTCTGGAGATGCAGCATCCGTTCTAGCTGCTGAGGAGTTCCAGGCCTGCCTCATTTCAAGTCAGGCACTGAGATGCCTCCATCGCTTTGTTCTGCTCGCGGCTGCCCGGCTACTGTGGGTGTTTTTGCTTTCATGGGAATGTTTGGGTGTGTTCCAGTTCTGTGGAGAATGTTGCATTCTTGGGGTTATGTTGCATCTACAGGTTGCTTTTAGTAACGGCCATTATCATAACATACATTCTGCTGTCTGTGAGCGAGAAGTGTCTTTTCACCACCCATTGTCTTCATTTTCATTTAACTGCTTTAAAGTCTTCATTATGCAAGTAGTTCGTGTCCCTAGTTTATCCCTAGGAATATTTTGGAGGTTTTTTAGAGCAATGAAAATTTGCTCTAATCAATGAAAATTTTTTCTGGTTTCGTTTTTGGCAATTTTATTATTGCTATATTGGAAAGTTGCTGGGATTTGTATATTAATTTCAAAATCTGCTACTTTTTTGAAGATGTTTATCTTATCTAAGACTTTCTTGGCGGTGTCCAGACTCCTTTAACTATAGGAGTGTGTCATCTGAACACAGATAGGATTATAATTTATTTCCTATTTATGTCTCTTTCACTTCTTCTTGTCTTACTGCCCTACATAGGACTTCAAGCACCATACTGAGTATGAGCAGGGGAGACATTCTTAGCGCATTCCTGATTTTAAAAGAAATGCTTTCAGTCTTTCTTACTTAATGCAATGGTGCTCTAGGTTTTGTTTTAGTTATCTTTACTATTGTTGCAATAGAATACTGTAAGAAAAACAGCTCAAGGGCAAAAGGGCTTCTTTTGACTCATGGTTCAAGGGTATAGTCTATGATGGCAGAGGAGCCAACGTGGCAGGTACTTGAGGTGCTGATCACAGTCCACCCATAGTCAGAGATAAGAACGAGATGGGGTGTTGAGTCACAGTACTTCTACAGTCAGAGACAAGAAAGACATGAAGTGCTGATTCACAGTACTTCCACAGTCAGAGACAAGAAAGAGATGAGGTGCTGATTCACAGTCCACCCACAGTCAGAGACAAGAAAGAGACAGGGTACTGATTCATAGTACTTCCACAGTCAGAGACAAGAGAGAGACAGGGTACTGATTCACAGTCCACCCACAGTGAGAGACAAGAAAGACATGAGGTGCTGAATCACAGTCCACCCACAGCCAGAGACAAGATAGAGATGAGGTGCTGATTCACAGTCCACCCACAGCCAGAGATAAGAAAGAGATGAAGTGTTGATTCACAGTATTTCAACAGCCAGAGACAATAAACACATGAACTCATGCTACTGCCCAGTTTTGCCCTTTCCCTGCTTCCTGCAGTGGAAAGCACAGCCCAGGGGAATGGCACCACCCACAGCAGACAGTGAAAGCCGATCCTCTGCACGCACACCCAGACCTATCTCTCAGAGAAGTCTACAAGACTCTGTCAAGCTGAAAAAATAAGACATAGATGATAGATGATGGTGATAGAGATGGATGGACAGATGAATAAAACTTTTATTCATAGTTTCTTGAGGCTTCCATCATGACAAGATGTTGAACTTTGTTGAAGAACATCTCAGCATCCATTGAGAAGACCCTGTAATATCTACTCTTAAGTCTATGTGTTATAGTACAAGCACTGACTTGTAATGGTTGGACCGTCATTGTGTTCCTGGAAAGAGACAACTTGCTGATAGTATGTGATTATCTTAATGCATTATTGAATTGGGTTGCAGGTGTTTTATTGAGAATTTGTCTGTGTGTGTTCATCAGGGAAATTGGTGTCTTGTATTTTGTTTACTTGGATAGTGGGCCTTATCCTATTTTACTCTCGGTGATTCTGGTTTCATTGAGTGGGTTTTTTAGCTTTCTTTCTCTCTCTCTCTCTTTTATGGAACAATTTGAGAAACATTAGCATTGGTTCTTTGGAGGTTTGGTAGGATTCAGAAAAACCCTGTTAGACTCTGTCTTCTGGGCCTTTGTCTTCAGTCATGCTGATTATTATGGATCTATTTACACTGTTTCTGTACTCTTGACTCCATTTTGGTGGGTGAGTCATTCATGTCTAGGAATTAATCTCTTACAGGTTTTCCAGGTTTTTTTAGAATATAAGCTTTTAAAATATTTGTTAATAGGTTAGGAGGTTCCCTTCGAAAACTTCGGGCGAAAGTTGACAGTATAAATATTTCCTACAGACGGCACAAATGGACCAAGGCACTGTGCTAGGAGGCTTCATTTTTGTCTTACAAATGGAATGCTTTTTATTTTTAATTTCTTTTTTCTTTTTTTTTTTTTTTTTTTTGAGATGATACTACAATTACGTCACTTTGTTCTTCACTTTCTCTCCACCCACAGGCTTCCCTTGCTCCTGGCTCTTTCCAATTCTTGAAAACTGACTTGTGCTCTGCCCCCTCCACCGGCTTCTTATTCTCCTGGCTTCTCTTGTTTAGCATTTAAATGCATGCAGAAGCCACCGGGTAAGCCCCAAGGGGACTGAGAGTAATATTATAGGTAATCTGTGTTTTGTGCTTTATTAATCAAGTAGAACACTAATAAAAAAACACTTTCATAATTAGTGGAATAGGCACTAATTCAAAGATGTTTATTGGAATAGAAAATTAGAATTTGATTACACCTTTGCTCCTGAACAATGGCTGGCTTTCAGCTACCTTGGTGTTTGTTTGCAGGTTGGTCTTAGCTGTTTGTGTTGCTCCATTTATTAAACAGACCAGATGGTTTGTGTCATTTGTTTTTAGTTGACTGCAGTTGGTAGGAATGGTACAGAGGTTTCTCTGGACATGTGGCAATCTCCCCCACATTCTGGCCTCTGCGCTCTCCCTGGGCTGATCTTGGGAACAGGTAATCCTGTCACAGCTGGTCCATGGAGGGGCCAGGGGCTTGCAGCCCACACAGGGACATGTTCCCTGGAGTGCAGGGCCAGGCTGAGAAGGTGACCTTGTGCGTCTTTCTCCAGTCTCAGCTGTGCTGGAGCCTGGGTGCGGAGCCAGCCACTCCCGACGCTGTCACTGCTGCTGGCAGCTGCTGGTTTAAGGAAGTGATTGCTGACAGCCAGTCTCAGAAGATTTCCTGGAGAGGTGCTCCCAGGATGGCAGGAGGCAGGAGCCTCAGGGGTGTTCTTCTGTTGCTGAGGAAGGACTGGGCCTCAGGGGAGCCCAGCACAGGAGAGCCAGGGCTAGGTCTCAGAATCCGAGGGAGCAAGGTGGGAATGTAGGTGCAAGCTGTCTCTCCCTGAGATCTACCCCATACATCCACAGCCTCACCATGCTGTCACTCTGGCTCTTCTGCCTCATTTTGAGCCATTCTTTTAACCCTATACTCTTTCCACCCCAATAACATCTCTCACTTCCAAAAAGATGTCAATGGCTTCCTGTCTCCTTACACTGAAGGAAGCTGTTTACACAGTAAGGTCTAATTTACTCATGTGCATTTCAGGCATGGTGATCTATGGAGAGCCATGCCTGCAAACCCAGCCCTTGGGATGTGAGGTATGATTAGGAATCCAAAACTAACCTGGCTTCATGAAATATTCTGGCTTAGAATGTTTGAAAGCCTACCCACCCCTCACTTGGTCCCAGGACTGGGGGTTCCTTGATAAAATTGGGTGCTCTCTTGTAACAGCAATTCCTACATTGGTCTCCAAAGGCCCTGCTGTGGTTGAGGCACTGTTTACCAGCATCATAGTAGCTCTGACTCAAAGTGACGCCCCTGGGGGGCAGCTCAGACCTCACAACTGGTATACATGGGGTCCTGGTCCGTCTGCCATCCTCTTGTGGGCCTCCTGATGGAGCTGTCAGTGCTGAGCTTCCTGTGGGCACTGGACACTGTGCTGTATCCCAACTCTTCCCGCTGGTCCCCATATACTGCCACAAGCTGGCCTGAGAAACTTGAAACCTTAACCCCAATTTGTCCATTTCCCCAGTGACTTGACCACAGAGGGCAGTGTGTTGCTCAGGGGAAGGGGAAGAGGAATGCCTTGCTGGGACCTGTGGCCCACCCAGAACTGCCAGCAATTGCCAGGGCCCCTGGAGGCTGCTAGGGGGGCAGAGCCTGGAGGAAAACCCTGAGCATGGTCCTGCCTCAGTGTGTGTGCCCAGTGATTTGCTGGGCCCCCCCCCCTCTGCTCTCAGCCTCCAGC